AGCGTCGACAAACACACACATTCACACACGCATTCAAACACATCAGCATTGTAATGAAAAGAGAAAAAACAATAGATACACCGCAACAGCGAGTTACGCAGTCTCTTTTTCAACTTAAATCTTCCACTTAACTAATTGCATGCCCCCCCCCAAAAAAAAGTCATGTTTGACTGATATTTCTTCCTTTTTCATATCGTATCTAGAGTACCTTTATCATGTCTCTTTCTTTTATGCTTTCTTCTCTAGTCCAGGCTCGATTACACTTTTGAAATAGATATCCGCAGCAGTGTTATTATCAGCGTTGCTGGATGAATGATCCCGTGCCTCACTCCGGCATCTCTCAGTTTGGACCGTGTCTCCCAAAAGCTGATTCGTTTCTTGGCCATCTCTGCGGTCAGGTCCGGGAAAATTCTCAACTTCATCCCACGAATATGTAACACCTTTTCCTTTTTAGCGGCCTTTAATATCTCCTCTCTCGTTGTCCTCTTCTGAAGGCGCACAATCATTGCTCATTTCTGTGGCTCTCCCCACTGGCCCGACCCGGTGCGCCACATCCACTTCTGGTTCCGACTGTATTTTGCCTTGAAAGAGTTCTTTAAACAACCCGCTTATATAATCAGTCGGGTTACCTTTCTCAATATCTTTCGTCAGTCCAAACACACGTACATTCTGCTTTCGACTGTGCTTACGGGCTGGGCAAAATAGTTTAATTCAGGTCCACGCCGCGGCTGTACTCCATACGCTTGATCATACGTCCATTTGCGGTTAAATAAAAGTATTTTCCGACTGCAGTTTCTCTCAGAAGGGTTCTGAAGTTGATGTCCACTAGCCTCTCTGCATGAGATTTGTCTGACGAAACATAAACTCGTTGAAAACGCTCGTTAGCCTTAAGCTTAGCTTTGCGTCTTAGCACCGCCACTTTCTCCTCCACTGATGACAGCTGCACCTTCACCAGGCCGGGTTCACCAGGCCGGGTTCACCAGGCCGGGTTCACCAGGCCGGGTTCACCAGGCCGGGTTCACCAGGCCGGGTTCACCAGGCCGGGTTCACCAGGCCGGGTTCACCAGGCCGGGTTCACCAGGCCGGGTTCACCAGGCCGGGTTCACCAGGCCGGGTTCACCAGGCCGGGTTAACCAGGCCGGGTTCACCAGGCCGGGTTACGCGCCCGGACGCGCTCCACCGCAGCCGGGGTGGGGACTGGGTCACATCCAAGGCCTTCCCGCAGCACATCCAAGACTTTGGACATTAAGTCCTCATTGTCTTCCTGCTGTAGGCCACGATGACTACAGACACACTCGGGTCAAAATTCAGCGCCCTTGTATTTACTCATTTGGACTCTATCTTCTCAATTGTTGCGCACAGTATCCCCACCTCCGTGTCCAAAGCATTTTAGCTGCGGCTGTTTCCAGCTCTTGCTTTATTTTTGCTTGACTTTCGGCAATGAGCGTCTCCAAGGGTTTATTCAGTGTGTCAAATAATGTTCATTTGTTCCTCCAGAGTGGCTTGTAGGTTGTCCATTTTTGCTCCCAGAGACCTTATCTCTTTGAGGAGCGCAGCGTTGGCATTGATTCAGTTTATTTTACCTTACGTTGTCGTGTATTATCAGCCATTATTCCAATGAGCAGCGCTTCACAAATGTTTAACCAACGTTGTATTCAGTAATATTCGTAATCAGATTAGAATTGACTGAGTTTTTGTTGTAAAAATCTTTTGTTGTAAATCTATGTGCACAAGTGACGCAGAAACTGGTTATGCGGTCATCTTGTAGTAGTTTAAGAAGTAGTAACAATAGTAGTAACATTAGTAATAGTAGTAACAGTAGTAGTACTTGTATGGAGGAATAGCGGTCCTCTGGTCTCCCTCTGGTCTCTCTCTCTGGTCTCCCTCTGGTCTCTCTCTGGTCTCTCTCTGGTCTCTCTCTGGTGACGCTCGGAGCCTGCGCTGAAATGAACCTTTGAACTTTGCAAAAACAAAAAAAGGAAATACCAGAAACTCCCTCAATTTCCTCAGAACAGTTTCCGCTGCGAAGTCACGTGACTCCCAAAGTTAGACTGTTATTAAAGCTGAGGTCCCTGACTTTTTGTTTCATAATAGTTTGTCCAAAAGAAATAGGACAGAAGTTATATACTGTACATATAGAGATAAATAGATACTTTATTGATTCAGGAGAAATTCAGGTGTCCAGTAGCAGCAAAAATGAAAATAAAATGGATCAATCTAAAAACATAACAATAGTAATAATAAGCAACAGCCCTTCAGGTCACAGCAGCACAGATGGAGTAGTCTCTGGGTGGAGCAGGACGGGTCACAGCAGCAGAGGTGGAGTAGTCTCTGGGTGGAGCAGGACGGGTCACAGCAGCACAGATGAAGTAGTCTCTGGGTGGAGCAGGACGGGTCACAGCAGCAGAGGTGGAGTAGTCTCTGGGTGGAGCAGGACAGGTCACAGCAGCAGAGGTGGAGTAGTCTCTGGGTGGAGCAGGACCGGTCGCAGCAGCAGAGGTGGAGTAGTCTCTGGGTGGAGCAGGACAGGTCACAGCAGCACAGATGGAGTAGTCTCTGGGTGGAGCAGGACCGGTCACAGCAGCAGAGGTGGAGTAGTCTCTGGGTGGAGCAGGACGGGTCGCAGCAGCAGAGGTGGAGTAGTCTCTGGGTGGAGCAGGACGGGTCGCAGCAGCAGAGGTGGAGTAGTCTCTGGGTGGAGCAGGACGGGTCGCAGCAGCAGAGGTGGAGTAGTCTCTGGGTGGAGCAGGATGGGTCACAGCAGCACAGATGGAGTAGTCTCTGGGTGGAGCAGGACAGGTCACAGCAGCACAGATGGAGTAGTCTCTGGGTGGAGCAGGACGGGTCACAGCAGCAGAGGTGGAGTAGTCTCTGGGTGGAGCAGGACGGGTCACAGCAGCACAGATGAAGTAGTCTCTGGGTGGAGCAGTACGGGTCACAGCAGCAGAGGTGGAGTAGTCTCTGGGTGGAGCAGGACAGGTCACAGCAGCAGAGGTGGAGTAGTCTCTGGGTGGAGCAGGACGGGTCGCAGCAGCAGAGGTGGAGTAGTCTCTGGGTGGAGCAGGATGGGTCACAGCAGCAAAGATGGAGTAGTCTCTGGGTGGAGCAGGACCGGTCACAGCAGCAGAGGTGGAGTAGTCTCTGGGTGGAGCAGGACCGGTCACAGCAGCACAGATGGAGTAGTCTCTGGGTGGAGCAGGACCGGTCAGAAGGTGGAGTAGCCGCTTGGTTCAGACCATTTTCTCTGCTCTGGTCCAAAGTAAAATGCTAAATGCTTCCTTAGCATTTTTCAAAAGGTCAGCATTCCTCCAGTGGATTTTAACCTGATCCGCTTGGTTTGGACCATAAATCCTCTCTGCTCTGGTCTGGACCAGTGTAAAACCATGAACACTGTACTGCAGCAACATCTCAGGCAGAAAAAATCAAGAAAAATAAAAATTGATTAAACACAAAACAACAACTGTTCAAGAGCTACTTAGGACTTGCAGCGGTTTCCAGGCGCTTCTTTCAACAACAAAAAAGCAGGAGTTATATACTGTACATATAGGACAGGAGTTATATACTGTACATATAGGACAGGAGTTATATACTGTACATATAGGACAGGAGTTATATACTGTACATATAGGACAGGAGTTATATACTGTACATATAGGACAGGAGTTATATACTGTACATATAGGACAGGAGTTATATACTGTACATATAGGACAGGAGTTATATACTGTACATATAGGACAGGAGTTATATACTGTACATATAGGACAGGAGTTATATACTGTACATATAGGACAGGAGTTATATACTGTACATATAGGACAGGAGTTATATACTGTACATATACTGCAGGAGTTATATACTGTACATATAGAGCAGGAGTTATATACTGTACATATAGGACAGGAGTTATATACTGTACATATAGGACAGCAGTTATAGTACTGGACAGTATTGCACAAGGCAAATGATTTTAATATTTTCTTATTTACAGATGAATGTAATTTACAGGCTCAATAGTTCTTATTGTACAGTCTGACAGCAGAAAGGAAGGAACGACCTACGGAACCTCCACTCTCCAGAGCAGAGAGAGTGTCCTGCAGGGGGCGACAGTCATGGTCCAGATGTTAGTTTGTCCAGGACCCTCCTGTCCCCCACCTGCTGCACTGTGTCCAAGGAACATCCCAGCTGAGCTGGACTTCCTGATGTTCCAGCTTCTTCCTGTCCCTCTCTGTGATGCTGCTGCTCCAGCAGACCACACCGTACAAGAGGCTCCACCACAGAGTCATAGAAGGTCTTCAGGAGTGGCCCCTGCACTCCAAAAGACCTGAGCCTCCTCAGCAGGTAGAGCCGGCTCTGGCCCTTCTTGAAGAGGGCGTCTGTGTTATGAGTCCAGTCCAGTTTGTGGTTCAGATGAACACCCAGGTACTTGTAAGAGTCCACTCTCTCAATGTCCTTTCCCTGGATGTTCACTGGAGCTGGAGCGGCAGAATGATGTCTGCGGAAATCCACCACCATCTCCATAGTCTTCCCCACGTTGATGAGGAGGTGGTTCATCTCCTTAGTCTTCCTCACGTTGATGAGGAGGTGGTTCCGCTGACACCAGTCCACAAAGTTCTGTATCTCTCTGCATCATCGTCCTCGGAGCTGAGTCCGATGATGGCAGAGTCGTCAGAGAACTTCTGGAGGACACAACCGTCCGTGTTGTGTCTGAAGTCCGCAGTGTAGAGGGTGAAGAGGAACGCGACCCGGCTTCATGGTTCCAGCCCGTGGAGGCGCTTTTCCATGTGGTTTTGGACGCAGATGAGTCCAGATACTACTCTACACAGAGGGTTATGCTGCTGCTACGCACGCCTCCTATCCAGGGTAAGAACGCGGTTCTCAAAGCGCTGATGCTGCGGAGGTTCACCCTCTCTGCTGTGGAAAAGCAGAGATAAACGGCGGATAAACTTCTCACTGTGCCTGGATTGGGAGACGGTTCTGCGGTGGACCTCATGGACGCAATGTTGTCGGTTCTTGGAGCTGAGGAGGGCGGCTTTCTGTACCCACACGTGTTTTTGAGGCAGCTTCCTCAGCACGTGCGGGCGGCTCTCGCTAACTCTGCCTGTCTGCTCGCTTTTGATCTGCGCGGAATCGCAGAAGAGACGGACCTGGTCCTGTTGTCTGTCAGATGGTTCACGGTGCCGAGTGTGGCCGTGGAGCCTCGGCAGGTAACGTCAGAGGAGCCTGTGGCTGTTTCAGGCCTCATGGATTTCCTGTGTTCCTACCACAAGAAGTTCGGCAACAAGGCGCGACCTGTGTTCCCCCATGCTTGTTCGGGACGGCGGGAAACACAAGGGCAAGTGCTCAGTAGCAGCTGTGGGTACCGGTCATCAAGGTGAGCTGCTTTTTGTTAATGAGTCTCGTTCCGGACGCCGGTTTCTGATAGACATTGCTAAAGAGGAGTCTGCAACCATGGAGCGTTTAGGGATAGTGAGGTGCTCCAACAGCCCGTGGGCATTGCCCCTTCACATGGTACCTAAAGTGGATGGGTCGTGGCGCCCATGTGGTGACTTTGGCGATTAAATAATGTGACCACTCCCGACCGTTACCCTATTCCGCATATATATTTATATGTAATCATGTTTAGGCCAGCAGTGAAGGCCTTGCAGGCATTGAGGGTCCGCCACTGCTCTTTCCGGGTACATGCTGCAATCGCACACCCCCACCAGGGGGAGTGAGATTGCAGCATGTCAGCGCACGTGCTCATGGAACTTTTGGAGCCGGGACCGCCCGCACTGGTCCCAGTACAAACCCTCACCGTTGGTCTATTGTCCATAATAAATAAATATGTTGCTTCATGTCATGCGTCTCCCGGGTCTATTATCGATCTGCAACTATGTATCCCTGCACACATAAACATAAATATCATTCTAACGCAATAAATATCATTCTAATGCAAACTTTATGTTGAGTCTGTCACAAACCATGATCACACAATGTTTTCTTGTTTTACCAATATTTGCCCATTCTGTCCACACACTGTGAAGACAGAAGCGAGACACAGAACCATCACCATCCTTCAACCAAAAAGATCCAGGACTGAGGCTGTAGACCCAGGACTGGGGCCGCAGACCCAGTACTGAGGCGATAGATCAAGGACTGAGGCTGTAGACCCAGGACTGAGGCGGTAGATCCAGGACTGAGGCTGTAGATCCAGGACTGAGGCTGTAGACCCAGGACTGAGGCTGTAGACCCAGGACTGAGGCTGCAGACCACACAGGTCTGGCATCTGCCACTCTATGTGTCATGAGTCTGTATCATGTAATAGTTTCACATTTTAAGCTGAATTACAGTAATAAATACACTTTGGACAATGAGTTTCTCCTGTCGCTGCTGTGTGGCGCCCTCTGCTGGACACAGAAGATTTAAACTGGAAACGTGTGTACATACTGCTGCTAACATGTACAGATGGAAACATATACAAATGTAAACATACTGCTGCTAACATGTACAGATGTAAACATACACAAAACTATGCTGGTCGTGTTCATTCCTATTTGAAAACCATGATAACCTGATGACTGCCAACCTCCCGACCCAGGAAACGGATGAAGGGGAAGAAGATGGATGGATGATAACCTGACTACTATTGGGGTTTTCCCGATATTATAATAGATCCGTGGGTTTTCCCCACAGTATTATAAAAATTGCGTCTGGATAAATCTGCATCTTTAACGCCCAGGACCCTCCTCGCCGCTAGAGGGCGCAGAGCGGAGGTGGAAGTCACGTGCGTCAGAGGAATTCCAAGATGGCCACTGTAGCTGTTAGCCGTTAGCTCGTGTGCTACATCCGAGACATTCATTCCCCGAAAATAGCCTAATAAAGCCTAAAGCCGCTCTGATGCGGGTGTGAGCGGTCTGCTTCAGATTGTGATTAAATCCAATCCTTTTTATCTGAATAGAAACAGTTTAAAGTGTTTTATAAACAGTTTGCAAAGAAACACTGCAGACTTTGTGGTGAGTATCTGCTGTTTCCAGAGTAATGTTTATGTGAACCAATAAGTGACTGAACACGTTTCCTCTACAGCGTTCTGTTTGTGCGAAAGTAGTTTATCACCTCCGTGTTTCAGTGAAAGAATCATGATGTGGAGAGACTTTGAGAGGCTGAAAAGTGCAATACAAAACAGATTTATTATGAGAAAGAGATCTGTGAGTCACAATTTGACTCTTTGGGCTAAGAGCTGATTGGCTGGGTGGGTCCTCTCTTTTTCACATTTCTGTCTGAAAAATTATGTTTAAAGATGTGACAGAGGCCAATAATACATATGCATGATAGAGGAAAACAGTTTTAGAGACGTATAGTCAAGTATCTACTTAAGTACTTCTGCTCTGACAGAGGCTGAGGGTCCAGAGGCTGAGGGTCCAGAGGCTGAGGGTCCAGAGGCTGAGGGTCCAGAGGCTGAGGGTCCAGAGGCTGAGGGTCCAGAGGCTGAGGGTCCAGAGGCTGAGGGTCCGAGTCCTGCTCTGTGTGAAGGAGGAGCCATGTCTGCGGAGGATCTGTTCCACGGCATCGTCATGGCGGAGGAGAGGCGAGTGTGATCATCTGTAGACCCAGGACTGAGGCTGTAGACCCAGGACTGAGGCTGTAGACCCAGGACTGAGGCTGTAGACCCAGGACTGAGGCTGTAGACCCAGGACTGAGGCTGTAGACCCAGGACTGAGGCTGTAGACCCGGGACTGAGGCTGTAGACCCGGGACTGAGGCTGTAGACCAAGGACTGAGGCTGTAGACCCAGGACTGAGGCTGTAGACCCAGGACTGAGGCTGTAGACCCAGGACTGAGGCTGTTGACCCAGGACTGAGGCTGTAGACCCAGGACTGAGGCTGTAGACCCAGGACTGAGGCTGTTGACCCAGGACTGAGGCTGTTGACCCAGGACTGAGGCTGTTGACCCAGGACTGAGGCTGTAGACCCAGGACTGAGGCTGTAGACCCAGGACTGAGGCGGTAGACCCAGGACTGAGGGTAGACACAGTATCTGCAGCTATAGATGTGTCGTCAGCCATTCAGTTTTTCCAAGCTACATTGGAAATATCTTAATATCATATAAATCAGTCGGTCTGTAGTTGTGTTGTTGTAATGTTGTGTTGTGTTGTGTTGTGTTGTAATGTTGTGTTGCTGCAGGTTCCAAGGTGAAGGATACAGAGAGGGTTATGAGCGTGGGACCCGCAGGGGCCTCCAGGAGGGCCGCAGACACGGAGCTGTGCACGGGGCCCGGCTCTCCGCAGAGGTAACCATGGAAACCCACTAGCTCAATGAAGCCCAATAGGGAAGTGCTCATGGTCCAAGTTCAGCTCCAACTCGCTCTGGCGCCTGTTGACTTACATTGAAAAATACACAGATAATAACGTTCGCATAACCCCAGAATCTCCCTCTCTCCTCTCGCTCTCTCTGGTATCTTTCTCTCTCTCTGGTCTCTTTCTCTCTCTCTGGTATCTTTCTCTCTCTCTGGTATCTTTCTCTCTCTCTGGTATCTTTCTCTCTCTCTGGTCTCTTTCTCTCTCTCTGGTCTCTCTCTGGTCTCTCTCTGGTCTCTCTCTGGTCTCTCTCTGGTCTCTCTCTGGTCTCTCTCTAGTCTCTCTCTGGTCTCTCTCTCTAGTCCCTCTCTCTGGTCTCTCTCTGGTCTCTCTCTAGTCCCTCTCTCTGGTCTTTCTCTGGTCTCTCTCCCCCCACTCTCCTCTCGCTCTCCCCACTTCTCTCCCTCTCTGAGTCTAACACGTGTGTGTTTCCACAGGTGTGGTTCTATCATGGCTTTAGCGTGTCGTGGAAGTGTCTCCTCCAGAACCACACGGACCCTAAATCCAGGTCATTTTACAGAAGTTTGAGTTGGGATCATTCTGACAGAAGGGTCGGGGGGATCACACTGTGACACATGTAGCTCCTCTTGTCTCTCTCCTCACTCTCCCCTTACCTCCCTCCTCCCCTCCTCCTCTCCTCTCCTAACTCTTCCCCTTCCTCCTCTCCCCTCCCCCCTCCTCCTCTCCTCCTTCTCTTCTCTTCTCACCCTCCTCCCTCCATTCCCCCCCTCCTCCTCCCTCTCTCCTCCTCCTCCCCTCTCCCCCCTCCTGCTCTCATTCTCTCTCCTCCCCCCTCCTACTCTACCTCCTCCTCCCCACTCCTCCTCTCCTCCTTCTCCCCCTCCTCCCCCCTCTCTTCTCCTCCTTCTCCCCCTCCCCCCCCTCTCTCTTCTCCTCCTTCTCCCCCTCCTCCCCCCTGTCTTCTCCTCCTCCCCCCTGTCTTCTCCTCCTCTCCCCCTCCTCCCCACTCCTCTCCTCCTTCTCCCCCTCCTCCCCCCTCTCTTCTCCTCCTTCTCCCCCTCCTCCCCCCTGTCTTCTCCTCCTCCCCCCTGTCTTCTCCTCCTTCTCCCCCCCTCCTCCCCACTCCTCTCCTCCTTCTCCCCCTCCTCCCCCCTCTCTTCTCCTCCTTCTCCCCCTCCTCCCCCCTGTCTTCTCCTCCTCCCCCCTGTCTTCTCCTCCTTCTCCCCCTCCTCCCCACTCCTCTCCTCCTTCTCCCCCTCCTCCCCCCCTCTCTCTCTCCTCCTTCCTCCCTCCTCCTCTACAGGAAGCGTGTGAAAGCCCTGGATTCCCTCCTGGTGCTGCTGAATGACTTCTCTCTGGAGGATCCTCAGTCTGAGCAGATGAAGGAGCAGATGGACAAACTCAGAGTGAAGTTTAGACAGGTGTGTACTCACTGACACGCACTGACACACACATTGATACACACACACACACTGAAAAACATACACACACACAGTGACACATTGACACACACACACAAACACACCTACACTGAAAAACACACACACACACACACACACACACACACTGAACAGTCTTCTCTGCTGCAGGTCTGTTCCACATTAAATGTCTCCGCAGACTTCAGGGATTTCTTCAGGACCACGGAGGGAACGTCTTTCTGAACCAGAGGAGAGGAGGAAGGGGGAGAGGAGGAGGAGGAGGGAGGGAGGGAGGGAGGGAGGAGAGCGGAGGGGAGGAGGAGGAGGGAGGGAGGAGAGGAGAGGGGAGGGGAGGGGAGAGGAGAGAGAGGAAGAGCCGGCAGCCTGTTCTCAGTGTGATTCTTTAGTGTGGACTTTGCAGAGACTGAGCTCAGAGCAGACTCCTGTTGGAGATGGAGTTGGCTGAATGTTTGTTTGGTCCTGATTTACTGAGATTCATTAGAGGGAAGTGTGTGAGTTTTTAAATAAAAACACAACTGCAGTCTGTGGATGTTTAAAAAAGAACAAAACACAAACGGTCACATTAAAAACTCATCTGTTTAGTTACAGTAAAACCCCTTTGGAATACATGTGCAAGAGACCCCAGTGTGTGCGCGAGACCCCAGTGTGTGCGCGCGACCCCAGTGTGTGCGCGCGACCCCAGTGTGTGCGCGAGACCCCAGTGTGTGCGCGCGACCCCAGTGTGTGCGCGAGACCCCAGTGTGTGCGCGAGACCCCAGTGTGTGCGCGCGACCCCAGTGTGTGCGCGCGACCCCAGTGTGTGCGCGCGACCCCAGTGTGTGCGCGCGAGACCCCAGAGTGTGCGCGCGAGACCGTAGTAAAGTTAAAGTCACGATTTTTATGTTGAAACTTCTGTCGTAGCTCGACTTGTCCAGCAGAGGGCAGTGTCCTGTGTCTGGACTGGACTCAAAGTGATTCACTGTGAACTCCCAGAGTCTGTAGATAATTTTATATTCATAATTATAGATATTTATAGATAATTATAATTATAGATATTTATAGATACAGTGGACCCTGAGATTAAACCAACAATTACTTAAATCAATGACCAGAGAGAGACCAGAGAGAGACCAGAGAGAGACCAGAGAGAGACCAGAGAGAGACCAGAGAGAGACCAGAGAGAGAGACCAGAGAGAGAGACCAGAGAGACCAGAGAGAGAGACCAGAGAGAGAGACCAGAGAGAGAGACCAGAGAGAGAGACCAGAGAGAGAGACCAGAGAGAGAGACCAGAGACAGAAAACCACAAATATGTTTCACTTGAAATAAAGGTAAACTTCATGTTCACACAAAATAATCTGCAAAAGAGTGAGGCCATGAAAGGTGGGCCGTGGTATAGTGAGTCTGGGTCTGGGTCCCAGTGGAGAGGAGTGTAAAGCATTGATATTTATAGTTTTTTCTGACAATTTGTTGTAACGCAATAAAAAGTCTAATGCATTTTTTGTCTTGAGCAGTGGCGGCTGGTGGAATTTTCTACTGGGGGGGCTATGAATATGATGACTAGATATATACCAGCAGGGTAGGGATGCTTTCTGATCCCTACCCTGTAGCTTTCATCCAGCTGGGATGAAATATTTATCTTCCCAAACATAGCTAATTTGAGGGCATTTTGCATGTGGATACCAGTCTGCTCATGCTTCTTTGCCTTTTCTAAAAAGTGCTTCAGATCAGTCATACCTGTCTTGATCCATGCTGGGTCAGATCCTGATGTTTGAAACAAGAGGCATGGAAAGCAAAATAAAGCATTAGCCTCGCTACATGCTGCTAGCCAAGATTTGGCGCTGAACCAGGTCCTGGAAAAAGTACGAGTGTACCGTCTCCCCCTGTCGCTGGACTGCTGACTAATGGTAATATTTGGCTGATCAGGTCCAAGCTCTTTAACCTCAACCTTCTCCTGGTATGATCTTCTCTCAAACGGTATTGTTTTGAGTGATCTAACTGAATTAGTCTTTTTCTCGTTCTCCATTTTGCGTCTCTTTACGTTCGTCTCAAACTCCCACAGCTTGACCTGTCAATCACTGTAAACGGACGTCACAGACAGTGACAGTACAGGTCGCGGGCGATCCCGCCCCCTCAGGGCGCACTTCTCCTGCGCCCCCAAATCGTCTTATCTCTTGCATTGAAGAGGAGCTACTGCGCATGTACAACTTTTAACGAGAGTCCATAGACGGCTCAGGGCGCAATCTTTTGCGCCCTGAGGCGGAAATACGTCCTCAGTCCGACACAGACAACGCTGATGAGCTTAATCAATCCAACTCAGCATAAACTATAAAGTATTTCTTCCACATCTGAAATAAAACACACATACATTTCGAAATATTTTAATGTTATTATTTTTTTTAACGTTTTATTCAAGGTAACATGGCAAGTTGTGAGTGGTGGGGCGGCGCCCTAGCGCCCTCTATTGGCCGGCCGCCACTGGTCTTGAGTCTTTTTTCTGAAATGAACTTTAGGATTTATCCGTCGGGTTGTTTGGACCCGTGTCGACAGGAACGTGTCAAAATAAACTTTTCACTTTCAAAAGAAGTTTTCTGAAGTCAGGGAATGCTAAAGGACCAGCGAGAGAGAGAGGAGTGAGATCAGGGGGAGAGAGAGAGAGAGGGGAGAGAACACATTCTTATGGACTACGGAAAGTTTGAGACTTTATGAGATCTGGGAGTTTTGTGGGGAAGTCAGAGGGGGTCGTTGAAAGCCGCTTGCAGCTTTAACTTCTTTGTGCCTCTCACCTGCTCCATGTGTGAGGTTTGACATCACAGTCTGCCCTGAAACAGCAGCATGTCCGCGGCCCCTGAGGCCCCTGAGCCCCCGGAGGCCCCTGAGTGTACACGCTCCTCCACAAAGACATCACAACTGCGCACGCGTCTGGGGCTTTGTGCTGGGGCTCGCGCGCTGTGCTGGGAGGGGGCACGGGGGATCGGGGGGGGACCTCACGGGGGTACAGGGGGGTTACAGTAGCAGCTGGTTTATACAGCGCGGCGGCTGCACACTGCAAAGAATAAGTCCTTTCTCTTCATAGAAATGATGTTTTACACACACACACACGCACGCAGATACACACACACACACAGACAGATACAGACAAAGACACACACAGCATTACAACTTTCCAAAGAAAGTTTTTAAATGTGTGGACTACAGGTTAGAATTTTGGTCTAGGTTTAATCATTTCTTTGTAACAATCGGGCCTGAATTGTCCAAAACCAATGAGTCACTGGATTAACTGAAATAAACTGTAGTTGGATGTTCCTCAGTCCCACAGATGAGTTATGAGAACTGTTAATGACATAGAACTGTTAATGACACAGAACTGTTCCAAATGTAGCAATAGAAATGATCAAACCGTTTACACACATCTGCAATTTATCTTTCCCTCCAATATGAAAGCAGCAAAAGGAATCCAATATTTAAATCAGGAGATAAACACTGTTTCACTTCTGCCACAGTTTTCCAGAACATTAGAACAATTAGATTGTCCAGTTTGACCAACACACATCTGACTGTCCCACGCACCTCTGGCGTCCCACAGGGGTCAGTACTAGGACCCACATTATTCCTGATGTAGATAAATGAAATATGTACAGTGTCTAAACTAATGAAATGTTCTCTTTGCTGATGACACAAACATGATGCCCTGATGATGACCACAGTAACTTTAACAGAAACAAAATGTCACTCAATTTGAAAAAGACCAAAATAATGCTGTTTAGTTACCGTAAAACACACCAGTCACGTTAGTCTTTGATGATGTACCGATGGAGAAGGGCAGTAAGGGGACTTTATAAAGGTCATGAAGAAGATGACAAAGTCTGGGATCGCGTCTTTAATTCAGACAGAAGACATGTTTTATTGTCGATGGTAGCGACAGCACGAACAACAGAATGCAAGTGTATTATACAGAGCGGAGGCATGGAGACCTCCAATCAGCAGCTGCCACGGTGCCATGTAGCTTGGCCTTCGATAGACAAAACAAGGGAAAAGTACTGGCTTCTGCACATTGATAGAATGATGAGTTTAAAGCTGCACTAACTGACTTTATTTTTGTATTCATTACGAAAAAGCTATCCATGTCCATGCAGTGCATTGGGATATTCGTCCTTTTGAAGAAAAAGTAGCGCAGATTTGTGCTGGCCTGACATTATATTTTCGATCGAGTTTTGATGAAACAAGGAAGAGAATGTGTTTCGGGTCGCAGATTGTGACCAATCACAGCGGACCACTGACCCCCACTTTTGTGAGAAATCCACAGGTCCGTTAGCACAGACGGCTGAGTTAGCACAACACGCGGCGGAGCTAACCTGAAGCTTCGTGTGTCTTCGTCACCGGTTACTGCTTACACAGCGAGACAGCCATCCAAAAGAAAGCCCCGTTCCTCCGCGCTTCCCGGTTCTATCGTTTTATGGTCACGCCATCCACGTGCAAATCCATGTCCATGTATTTATCCATATTGAGAGACACTAGCTCCGTCCCAACAGTGGGTGTGTGTGGGGGGCAATAGCTTCGTGGGTGCGGGGAGGGGAGCAGAAAGAGCGAGGCCAGCGAGTCCGCGGCTTCAAAATCCCAAAGTCAGTTAGTGCAGCTTTAACTTGAACAAAAATTGCTTCAAAGTGTTATGAAATCTCACAGTCAGTAATGTAGTGAGCTGGCATAAGCTCCCTAGTGAAAGTAGGGGGCGCAGTATAAAAGCCTGTCAATTGCGCTGCCTTGCGTCTCCTCTATCCAACGTCACATCCGCTGCACGGGGCTCGGAGCGAGGCAGGCTAGTTGGGAGGTTGCTATGGGTCGTGTCGGAGCGTCAAGCCGGCGGCTGAGGCTTAAGGCCAGCAACTGGGTGGTGCCCAACTTTACTGCGTCGCTGGTAAGCTCCGCTCGTAGCTTTTAATTGCGCCGCTGGTTGGCTGCGTCACTTATTTAACTATTGTTTTTAGCATTGTGCACGTTGGCCCGGCTACCGCATAGCTGAGCATGGTCAGAGGCTCGGGGTCTCGGTATGGTGCGGGGAACGCTACACTTTGCTTTCTGGTATGTTTTGTTTTAATCTTTTGTCTGTCTTTTGTTTCAATGTAGTACATGTTTTATTTCAGTGTCAATGTTTTATGTTGTAGGGTGCTGTCGGCGTGCCCGCCTCCCCTTCTTCTTGTTTGGACGAAATCTGCAGACGAGTCGTCTGTTTTTAAGAACTATGATGCTGCTTAGCTATGGACAATGACCGAGAGACTGTGGTCAGTGCGCAGACGTGCGCCCTGCGGAATCAAGATAACTGGAAACAAAGAACTGATGTACAGAACCTATTTATTATCAAGAGCTGCTCCATTAAAAACGAATATTGTTGAACTTCTGCCTCTGTCCAGTCAATTTAAGCTTACCTGTGTGCCTTAGATCCGAGTACAAATTGGGGACATTTTTGGGTATCATATGCCCTGGCATTGCTGGTTATGTATGTCTGCTCCGTATTGCCACAGTAAAGTGACTTTATAAAGGGCGGGGGGACAGGTTATGAAGTGTTCAAGAGTCCAACAGCAGAGGGGAAGAAACTGTTCTTGTGGCGGGAGGTTCTAGTCCTGATGGACTGCAGCCTCCTGCCTGAGGGGAGTGGTTGGAATAGTCCATGTGCAGAGTGAGAGGGGAGATGTTGGAATAGTCCATGTGCAGGGGAGAGGGGAGATGTTGGAATAGTCCATGTGTGCAGAGTGAGAGGGGAGATGTTGGAATAGTCCATGTGCAGGTGAGAGGGGAGAGGTTGGAACAGTTGAAGAAGATGACAAAGTCTGGGATCGCGTCTTTAATTCAGACAGAAGACATGTTTTATTGTCGATGGTAGCGACAGCACGAACAACACGAACAACAGAATGCAAGTGTATTATACAGAGCGGAGGCATGGAGACCTCCAATCAGCAGCTGCCACAGTGCCATGTAGCTTGGCCTTCAGATAGACAAAACAAGGGAAAAGTACTGGCTTCTGCACATTGATAGAATGATGAGTTTAACTTTAACAAAAGTTGCTTGAAAGTGTTATGAAATCTCACACAGTCCATGTGCAGGGTGAGAGGGGAGTGGTTGGAATAGTCCATGTGCAGGTGAGAGGGGAGAGGTTGGAATAGTCCATGTGCAGGTGAGAGGGGTCGGCTGTGATACGACCAGCCCGGCCTCGAGCTCGGGCGACGTACAGGTCCTGCAGCGATGGAAGGCTGCGGCCGATCACTTCCTCTGCAGAGCGCACAATGCACTGTAGTCTCTGTTTGTCCCTGACTGTGGCTCCAGCGAACCACATGGTGATGGAGGAGGTGATGGAGGAGAGGATGAGGAGGTGCTGGAGGAGGTGCTGGAGGAGGTGATGGAGGAGGTGATGGAGGAGGTGATGGAGGAGAGGATGAGGAGGTGATGGTCGGCTCCCACTTGAGGTCCTAGTGATGGTTGTGCCCAGGAAACTAAATGACTCCACATCAGGTGGAGCAGGTGGAGCAGGTGGAATCGGGCATGTTGAGCTGGGAGAGCTTGTCCTGGAGCAGGGATGGCAGGATTGTGTTGAAGGCAGAGCTGAAGTCCACGAACAGGACCCTGGCGTAGGTCCCCGGGGAGTCCAGGTGCTGTAGGATGTGGTGGAGGGCCAGGTTAATGGCGTCGTCTACAGATCTGTTGGCTCTGTAGGCGAACTGCAGGGGGTCCAGGAGTGAGGAGGTGAGGGACTTGAGGTGGGAGAGAACCAGGCGTTCAAATGACTTCATGACGACAGACGTCAGAGCCACAGGTCTGTAGTCATTGAGTCCTGTGATCCTGGGCTTCTTGGGGACGGGGACAATGATGGAGGATTTGAAGCAGGCCGGGACATGGCAGGACTGCAGAGAGGTGTGGATGTCAGTGAACACAGGAGTAAGCTCACTGTCTCAGGCCGGTGAGATTGGCCTGGTCGCCTGGTCTTGTCTGGAGCTATACCCCTTTTCAAAGTTAATACTTTCTGTTTTTTGTCCTGCTGGATGAAAAAATAAGTTTGAAATAAATACTTACTTACTTTATGGCACAAATGTCGCAGAAATATCTCAGATTGTTTATGAATAATCCTCTTTCTGCTGAGGAAAAAACAAATGATCCATGAGCGAGTTATGTTAGGTCGTCCAACTTTAAAGTCTGTTTGTTCTGATTCATTTTGTACATTTATAAAGAAAGAAACCAAAAAGTGGTGCATAAAAGTAAACAGGAAAAACAAGGAAAAAGGCCAAGACTCCACTAGACCATCATCAAACAGAGAGAAAGTGAACGGAGGGGCTGTGTGTGTGTGTGTGTGTGTATATATGTGTGTGTGTCTGTGTGTGTGTGTGTGTGTGTTTGTGTGTGTGAGGCGCTCTAAAGACTGGAGAGAATGTGGAGGAATGCAGGGAGCAGGTGGCGAGTGTGACATGAAAAGCTCTGGTGACAAATGCAGCACAGAGCGCACCGTGTGTGTTTGTGTGTGTGTGTAAGTGTAAGTGTGTGTGTGTGTGTGTAAGTGTGTAAGGCCATTACAGTGTTCTGACCACTGGAGAGGTGAAGTGAAAGTTTAGACACTGAGCTGCAGTTCCTTTCGTGGCCACCAGGGGCGTGATGGGATCAGTGGGAGATTCATACAAGGCCCAGAAGTGAAGCTCTCACAGGCTCCATTCACTGGAGCTAACCATGAACGTATGAGAACCCTGACACCTGTCTCCACATGGACTAGAGGCCACCTGCGGTACTGCAGCCTGAGTCCCTTTAGACGG